GTAACAGAATACCTTTGAAAGCAGGGGTGTTGTTAAGTGGTGTCGAGTTGGTTCTGACTCATATCAACCATGTATAGGGGTTTCCAAGGACCAGCTTGTGAGCTTGAACCACTGATCTTACACAGTTCAAACTGACCTTGAGGTCTAGTGGGGGCTGGGGAACCTTTTTTTCTGCCCAAACTTAGAATTCGTGGGCCATACAAAACGATCAACTTAAAAAAGTAGACTGCTACATTTCATTAATTCACTCCTAATGTGATAATGTCCTAATGTTATGTCCTGGTGTGGTGCTGTGGGTTAATGTGCTAAACAGCGAAGTTAGTTTGAACCTCAAGGTCGGTAGTTCACACTCACCAGCCGCTCCTCAGAAGCCCTATACCGGCTTGATTAGTGGGAACTAACTTGCTAGCACTTAACAACTACAAGCTGTAAGTATGATTATTAAGGAGCTTTGGTAGCATAATGGTTACGAATTGGGCTGCGAACCTTAAGGTCCGCAGTTCAAAACTACCAGCCGCTCTGCGGGATAAAGATGAAGCTTTCTGTTCCCATAAAGATTTATAGCCTCGGAAACCCTGTATAGGGTCGCTATGGGTCAGAACCGACTCCATGGCATACAACAACAGTTTAATACAGTCAGCAGCTCCTGTGAGAGTATAGCAGTTACATCCAGAACAGTAGCTAGGTTGTGCATCTGGGGAAAGCGGCCCAAACACGCTATTACCAGCAAGGAACAACAGGGTGGTCAAACAAAATGACTGCTATGGTGCCTGCATCAGTTTAGTCATTTTATGGTGCTCTGTGAGCAGCAAGTAACAGTATCAGCAATGAATAAACACAAAACAAAGTGAATGTAGGCACATTTCTTTAGCCACTACAAAACTCATTAAAACTAGAACTCTTGCTCATACCGTCCATAGTCTTCAGTCCAGTTATAGATGTTTCTTGTCAAGTTAATCCATTCCTCAGGGTTGAAAACAATCTCTGAAGAGACTAATTTGTCACAAGAGCCCCATGGCCAAAGCGAATAATTCTTTTTCCAGGTGGGATCACCTTCATGAATTCCTATGCAAACAAATGTTTCTTTTCTATTGAAGACAGAAAAAATATATGATACACATTTAACTTAAAAAGTTCAAAATTCAAAGTAAATGTAATTAATGGTAGATTCTTTTCAAGTCTTTTTCAAGTCCTTAACTTTGATTACCATTTGTGAATAGTTTCGTTTTTGTTTTTTTTTAAATTTCTCTTCGTGTATAAATGCTGCTTCTAGGGGATGGAGGGAAACAGAGAGACACAGACAATAAAACCTGGCTGTTCCTAACAGTTGACGAGCTCACTCGAGGACATATTTTATAAGGGAAACTCATATAACACTGTCTCACACATAGACATAAATGCTTTCTGATGCCTTAAACATTTTCAGGTACAAATATGCCTCACGTTGTATTCCTACTAAAAGTAGTTTCTCCTTCCTCAAACTCTAATTGCATTTTATTTTTGTTACTCTTTTACTATTATACTTAAAATTTGCATTTGAATTCTCGCTGGTTGGTCCAGAAACATCCTAAGGCTAGGCTCTCTATTCCTGAATAAACTCTGAATCCCACACAGCATGAAACATAGCTAGTGCACTATAAATATTTTCTAAATGGAGTTAATTAGCTTTGAATGACTATTAGGAGCTTCGAATCCTGCAAAAACTAGTATGAGAAATGGTTTAAATAGCCTTGGTTCAAAAGATGTATAATTAATAGTTGTATTCCGATTTTTGCTTTACGCCTCAATAACTGTTACTAAATAGAGAACGAGAAAAAAGGAGGGTATTGGGGGATCACTGAAAAGTAAAAACTTCATGAACTTTGAAGCAAGACACTTCAAGAAACACAATTCTGGCCTAGAATTTAAAGTGAATATGACTATCTTTTAGAGCTGTTGAGGATATAAATACAGTTTTAAAACATAATAGGATTCTGGTTCTTGGGCAGAGAGTAAAAAACATATTATCCTATCTAGTCCACCTGACACAACTATGATTCCTGGGCCGAATCCATGGAGCAGCTACCTGAGGATTCTGAAAATGAATGGAAAAAAGAAGACTGAGCAAGGAGATGAGAATTAGCAGTTCCACCAAATCAGTGGTGAGGCGGCCATGTTCCCGCTCCAGTGAAACCCAGAAGTGTGTACCATGTGTGGTCAGAAAGACCACCAAGGAAAGGGCTTGCTTTCTAGCTCAGGGAACAGGGAAGGAAATCCTAAGGTCAGAATGAGTGGCAACCTCTGAGGTTTTGTCCCCAGCCCCAGGCGATGATGCGACACCCGCCTGTGAAGAGATAGCAACATAGGAATGGCAGAGGCAGCGGGGACTAGTGTCTAGAGTTCTGAGTGGAACCCTTTTCTCTGACCGAAAGAGCCAGCTGTGAGTTTAGCAAGGTTGCAGCACAGAAGGTTTACATACACAAAATCAGTTTCATTTCTCTACAACAGCAATGAACAACTGGGAAACAAATAAAAAAGACAGTATGACAGTATTTCCCAAATTAAATAGCTAGTTATAAATATAACCAAATATGTAGCGCCTATAAGCTGAAATTTATAACATGTTGACAAAAGAGATCAAACAAGGCTTAAGTGAATGAAGAGAGGTTCATGTTCATGTTTTGACAGATTCAGTATCATCAAGCTGTCCATGCTCCCCACAGTAGACTAAGTAGTTGTTAGATGCTGGTCAATCAGTTCCACTCACAGTGACCTTGTATAGTGTTTCTCAGTAGTGACTGATTGGTTTGTTATCAGTTATCAGTCTAGTGCTTACCATGCAGGCACCACTGTTGTTGGTAAGTGCCATTGAGTCTGTTCCGACTCACAGGGAGCCTGGATAGGATTACCGAAGAGCAACTGGTAAGTTTGAACGTCGCCTTACAGTTCAAATGACCTTGTAGTCCAGTGCTTCATACTACAGCACCACACAAGTGTCATAGACTCGAATCTAATAATTCCAATGAAAAATCCTACAATTTTTTGGGTTTTTTTCATAGATACAAAGATGCAAATGAAGTTCAATTACCTTCTAGTGTACCAAGCATGATGTCCTTCTCCAGGCACTGGCCCCTCCTGATAATATGGCCAAAGGATAAGATACGAAGGAACATTCTGGCTGTACTTCTTCCAACACACTTTTGTTTTCTCTTCTGGCAGTCCATGGTACTTTTAATATTCTCCTCCAACATCATAACTTAAATGCAACAATTCTTTTGCATTCTTCCTTATTCACTGTCCAAAATTCACATGCATATGAGGTTATTGACAATACAATGGCTTCAGTCAGGCGTACCTTAGTCCTCAAACTGACATCTTTGCTCTTGAGCACTTTCAAGAGGTCTTGCGCAGCAGATTTGACTAATGCAATATATTGTTTATTTTCTTGGTTGCTGCTTCCCTAAGAGTGGATGGTTGTTAGGTACCACTGAGTTGGTACCGACTCACATAGTACAACAGAATGAAACACTGTCCTGTCCAGCATCAACCTTGTTTAATTTCTTGACTGCTGCTTTCATGAGTGTTGATGGTTGGTCAGAGCAAACTGAAGGCTTTGACAACTGTAATTTTTATCCATTTATATGAATGTTGTTTATTAGTCAAGTGGTGAGAATTTTTGTTTTCTTTATATTCAGGTACAACCTATACTGACAGCAGTGGTCTTTGATCTTCATCAGTAAGTATTTTAAGTCCTCTTCACTTTCAGCCAGCAATGTTGTATTGCCTGCATGTCGTAGTTTGTTAGTCTTCCTCCAACCCCGATGCCACATTTTTCTTCATATATCTTCTCAGATTATGTGCTCAACACAGACTGAATGTTGTTGTTGAATACCATCATATTGATTTTGACTCATAGCGACCCTGTATAGGGTTTCTGAGGAGTAGCTGGTGAGCTTGAACCATCAACCTTGCAGTTCAAACCAACTTTACAGTTCTGCGCATTAACCCATAGCGCCACACCAGGACTCCATACAGACTGAGTAAGTATGGTGAACGAATACAACCCTGGCGCACACCTTTGCTAATTTTAAATCATTCAGTGTTCCCTTGTTTTGTACAAACAACTGCCTCTTGGTCTGTGTCCATACAGGTTCCTCATGAACACAATTAAGTATTCCGGAATACTCATCCTCCACACTATTATCCTCCACACTTGCCATGAACAACACAATTGAAAACCTCTGCTACTCAATAAAGCACAGGTCAACATCTTTCTGATATTCTTTGCTTTCAGCCAAGATCCATCTGATGTCAACAATGATATCCCTCGTTCCAAGTCTTAGTCTGAATTGGCTGGAACCTCTGGCAGTTCTCTGTCAATGTATGTTTGCAGCCATTTCTGGATTATCTTTAGTAAAATTTTACTTTTATGAGATATTAATGATATTGTCTGATGAGTCCTGCATTCCACTGGTCACCTCTCTTTGGAAGGGGCGGAAATATGGATCTCTTCCAGTCCGTTGGCCTGGTAGCTGTCTTCCATATTTCTTTGCATAGATGAGTGAACGCCTCCAGTGCCGCATCACTTTGTTGAAAGATTTCAATTTGTATTCCATCAGTTGCTGGAGCCTTGTTCTTTGCCATTGTCTTCAGTGCACCTTAAATTTCTTCCTTCAGTATCATTGGTTCTTGATCAGATGCTACTTCTTGAAATGGTTGAACACTGACCATTTCTTTTTGGTACAGTGACTCTGTGTATTCCCTCCATCTTCTTTTGATGTTCCCTGCATCATTCTATATTTTGCCCATAGACTTCATCAATACTGTAAGTTGAAGTCTGAATTTTTTCTTCAGTTCCCTCAGAAATACTAAGGGTGTTCTTCCCTTTTGTTTTTCTAACTCTAGGTCTCTGCACATTTTGTTACAATATTTGACTTTGTCTTCTTGAGCTGCTCTTCGAAAATTTTTATTTACCTATTTTACCTTCTCATTTCTTCCTTTTGCTTTAGCATCTCTATCCTGGAGAGCAAGTTTCAGAGTCTCTTCAGATAGCCATTTGGTCTTTGCCTACTTTCGTGTCTTTTTAATGAAGTTTTGCTTTATTCCTGTATGATTTTCTTGATGTCATCCCACAACTCTTCTGGTCTTCATTCTTTAGTGTCTAATACAGCAAATCTATTCTTGAGATGATATCTAAATTCAGGTGGGATATGTTCAAGGTCATATTTTGGCTCTCATGAACTTGTTTTAGTTTTTTCAGCTTCAGCCTCAACTTGCATGTGAGCAGTTAATGGTCTGTTCCACACTTCACCCCTGGCCTTGTTTTGGCTGATGATATGGAGCTTTTCCAGTCTCTTTCCACAGATGTAATCAATTTGATGTCTATGTATTCCATCTGGTGAGGTCCAAGTGTATATATAGTCTCTTATTGTTGCTTTAAAAAAGTATTTTCAATGAAGAAGTCATTGGTCTTGCAGAATTCTATCATGCAATCTCCGGCATCGTTTCTATCACCAAGGACACATTTTCCACCTACTGATCCTTTTCTTATTTCCAGCCTTTGCATTCAATCATCATTCATTATTAATGCATCTTGAGTGCATGTCTGATCAATTTCAGACTGAAGAAGTTCATAGAATTCTTCAATTTCATTATCATTGTCATTGGCTTTAGTGGTTGGTGCATAAATTTGACTAACAGTGGTATTAACTGGTCTTCCTTGTAGGTATATGATATTATCCAATCACAGATAGCATTGTATTTCAAGATAGATCTTGAAATATTCTTTTTGATGATGAATATGACACCATTTTCCCCCAATTTGTCATTCCCAGTATAGTAAACCATGTGGTTGTCAGATTCAAAATGGCCAATACCAGTCCACTTCAGCTCACTAAGGCCTAGGATATTGTTACTTAGGCATTCCACTTTATTTCCAACAATTTACAAATTTTCCTAGATTCATACTCCATACAGTCCTTGTTCTGATTATTAATGGATGATTACAGTTGTTTGTCTTTATTTTGAGTTGTGCCCTATCAGCAAATAAAAGGCCTGAGAGTCTTACTCCATTTGCGTCATCATGCTCAACTTTGATTAGGCAACTCTTCCCCAGTCATACTTTGAGTGCCTTCCAATCGGAGGGGCTTATCTTCTGTCACTATATCTGAAAATGTTCTAGTATTTTTCATCATGTTTCAATATTTTGATGTTATTTGACACTTTTCCACTGCTATTGCTAAGGTTTTCAGTGAGTAAATATTCAGAAGTAGTCTGTCTGTCTTCGTTTAGTAGTACAACATCTGAAGACTGTCCACCATAGGTATCTCTGCTGGTATTTAAAATACCAGTGGCCTATCTTACAGAATCACAGCAACACACAAGCCACCACAGTAAAACACATTGACAGTCGAGTGGTGGGTTGATGGTTAATCCAAGGAAAATGAAATCTTTGACAAAATGCTAAATATAAAACTATAAAACTCTTAGTGTTCTTAGATATGACGTTAAAAGCATGGTCCCTTTAAAAGAAAAAGTTAATTCAGTTTTATCAAATAATTTGCAAAAGAAATTATTAAGTAAAGAATTACATGTCATATCTGACAAAATATTTGTATCTAGAATATATAATCATAAAGCTCAACAAGAAAAAAAACAACCTACCAAACCCACTTTTAAATATGAAAAATTGTATGTACACAAAAACCTGTACATGAGTACTTACAGTAGCTCTATTCATAACTGTCAACAATTGGAAACAACCCAAATGTCCTTCAACAGGTGAAACGATAAGTCAACTGTGAAACATCCATAAAAAGGAATTATCAGAAAGTTATGTACTTATGAATATATATATATCTCAACACAGAACAGTCTGTGGTTGCCAGGCATCAGGCAACAAGGAAATATGATACCTAGGAAAAATCTTGGGGGTTATGGAGCTCTCCTGTATCCTGATTGTGGTACCAGTTACAGAATATATATGTGTGAAAACACATACAACTGTACACCAAAGAAAGCCAGGATCACTGCCTATTAATTTTAATACAAGATTTTAAAAATACAATGTTGTTGTGAAGTGCCTTAAAGTCAGTTCTGACTCAAAGAAACCCAGAGCTGTAAATCTCTGTGGGAACAGAAAGCCTTATCTTTCTCCTGTGGAGCCGCAGGCAGACTTAAACTGCAGACTTTGCGGTTCAGTCCAGTGCTTGTCATATGAAGCCACCATGCTCCCCATATTATGTTTGTGTTCATATCTATGTATTATACAAATAGCTTGTGGTCTACTTGAATTTGGAAATGCGTGTCATTCATCTTTTTATTGCCAGGGCCTAATACAAGTTTGGAGTCCTGGTGTGGCACTGTGGGTTACTGCGCTGGACTTCAAAGTTGGTTTGATCTGCAGGTTGGCCATTAAACTCACCAGCTGCTCCTCGGAAACCCTATACAGAGTCACTATGGGTCAGAACCGACATAGTGGAACTTAATAATAACAACAATACAAGTTTGGAATCCAGGTATGGTGCTGTAAACTAAGCAGTGGACCGCTAACCACAAGGTTAGCAAGTCAAACCTACTAGTCGCTCCCTGGAAACCCTACGCAGGGTCACTATGAAGCCAGAACCAACTCGATGGTACTTAATAATCACAGGAACAATACAAGTTTTTGCTGTTGTAAAGTGCCGTCGAGTCAATTCCAATCCATAGCAACCCTTAAAGGGTTTCCTAGGAGCAGCTGGTGAGCTTGAACCACCAACCTTGTAGTTCAAACGGCTTTACAATACAAGTAGATATCCAATAAATGATTATGGGATTGAGTTATATAAAATTAACAAATGTGCTTATATGGAAACTTTGATGGTTCTTGAAGGAGCCCTGGTAGCGTAGTGGTTACGAATTGGGCTGCGAACCTTAAGGTCAGCGGTTCGAAACTACCAGCCGCTCCGCGGGAGAAAGATGAGGCTTTCTACTCCCGTAAAGATTTACACCCTCGGAAACCCTGTACAGGGTCGCTATGGGTCGGAACCAACTCGACGGCACTTAACAACTATTTTATTGCACAATAGAAAAAGTAACTATGACTGTCCCAGGGAGCGTCTCTATGAGGTAAATGGCATGGTAGTTGCAGTGATGGGCTCCAACATACCGATGCCTGTGAGGCGTGTGTAGGGCCAGGTGCTGCTTATCATCATACTGAAAGTCAGCAGGAGTCAATGCAAGTGCAGACTGACTGGAAATTGACCTCCCCAAGCACACTGATACCCATTACCTTCATAAGCAGTAAGGAGCTCTGCAGGTGCTGTGGGAAGAGCACTGGGCAGTTAGCCACAATGTCAGCAGTTCAAACCCACCAGCCGCTCCTAAGGAGAACGATGAGACTGTCTTGTAAAGACTGATAGTCTCAGAAACCCGACACTGACTGGGTTCTCTATGAGTCAGAACTGACTTGATGGCTGTGGGCTTGGTGGACTTTTGGATCATCAGTAGTACCATATCTTTATGAAAAGAATGTGCATGTTATACGTTTTTGCCAACCTTCCGTATCATTTTCTTAGGTGCACTGTGTGTCCCTAGGGTGTGTTATTTATGTATTATTTGAGAAAAAAATACAGTATTCAGGAGCCACAGTAAACTTCAGCCTCTCAACATCAAAAGTACTACATTATGATCTTTGTTGCGGTTGTTGTTAAGTTCTTTGCTGGGGATAATGTAGGTTTGGAATTTATAAAGAATTTAAGAAGTTTCCTTTATGAAAAAAATAGAACTAATGAAATACATTTTTCTCCTTCAAGCTCTGGACACAATCCCCAGCATCTCCGATAGAGGAGAAATGTTCAGCACCATACTACTGAAGTATATGAATTCACAATTCTTACATTTTATCTCAGCTAGCATAACTGTTTTTCTTATTTATAAAAATGTCTTATCTCTTATAAAAAAAAAAATCTTAAGCTATTTTTATATTGTGATTATTCCTGGAAAACATTTGCTGTACACTTAAAAGTAGGCCCCGGTGTTCATCTGGGGAAACTATAATTGCCTGTGATCCACCTGCAATGATTTCAAGTAGGCAGACACATCTCCAATTTCTCTGAATTGTACTAAGATCTTATTTGCTGTTCTTGCTAATCTGTCTTTATTTTTCCTTTACCCAGAACAATAACATTTATTTCTGCTTGGTCTCATTTATGTGCAGTTATTCAATTTAATTACAAAGATAATCTCACTGGTGACAGGGAAATAGGTGCAGAAAATTGGTCTTTTGGATGAGGCACAGCTGCTACATAAACAATTTTAGAAAAGCTTAAGATTTTAGAAAAGCTATTATATGAAAATAATGCTTACTGTTTATTTATTTCAAGAAAATGATGAAGATTAAATGTGACCATCCCAGTAGGTAATATTCCTTCCACAGGATTCCACCGATTCCCGGGAAAGTTGACACCTGGTAAATGCTTTGCCATCTTGGGCAAATACCACTCGTAAGTCATCATCTGCCATTAAAAAAAAAAAAACAACAAAAAAACCACAAATAACATCAGACTTTTTGTATATTTTTCAAAGAATCAAGTTTATCAAATACAATGAAAAGATTTTAAAATGTAAATACACTCATTGAACAAATACATAGTCATACCACTAGAAAAACAAACAAGCACGACCTATGTACATTGTACCAATTACTTTTCTTATGACTTGGATTTGATATCTTAATGTAATAACTCCCATCAATGCACTAGCACTTTGTTGTATTTTACCTGTAGGTATTTGGTTAACTACCCAGAATGACCTTTCCCCTTATACCTACAGTAAGCATACTCAACTTTCTGGACATGCTTAAATATCACTTCCTCTAGGATGTTCTCCCCAGTTTCCATAGCCAGAAATGGCATGCTTCTATAAATCTTTGTACCTGCCGGTTACAGCTCTTAGCGTATTCCTCCCTAGACTGTGGATTCCTAGAGGGAAGCGACTGTATCTTTGCATCTTTATGTCTCTGCACACCGCCTAACATATACAACAGTTCTCAAAATTGGTTTGCTGAAGTTGAAACTTCTGTGACGGGCAAGCTAGACAACCTAGACAAAATACAGAGATGTGCCACGCCTCCATTCTTTCATTCCTTCAAAAAAACAAGTGTAACTTAACTATAATGAGTAAAATAGAATCCCCTGCTCTTGAGAAACTCAATCACATGATAATCCAGGCCTATGTGACTATGAGGGAAAATCCAGAGAAGTGCAAAAAGGCTGCCCTAGAACACTAATATCATGAATGGTTTGTATTATAATCCCCCAAATCTCCTTTCTCAAGTATTCTGTTTCTAGCACTCAAAAGCATGCTACCTTATATAATGATCAATCCGTTTTGTAGTAAGGAGAACAGAAACTCTGAGGGGAAGAATCATTAGTCCCCTGTCATACATACAGGAAGTAACTGAATGGATATTTGAATTTATGATGAATTACCTCTGAAATCCATGCTTCTTAATTACAGTAACTGACATCCCAAATAATATTTAAAGCCAGGCTATGGTGCCATTTTGTAGAAAAGTAAACCTAGCTTTTTCCAGAAGTTAGACTGAAACTCAACTGAATCAATCTCTGTACATGACAGAAATACAAACTGCTTACTAAAGCACACATAAGTTTCAAGTTCTACTACATGGTGCATAGGAATCATGGTGTGGCGCTGTGGCTTAATGTGTGGACTGCAAGGTCACTCTGAAACACAAGGCGATTCCAAGTTCACCAACCATTCCTCAGAAACCCTACACAGGGTCGCTATGAGCCGGAACTGACTAGACTGCACTTAACAACAACAACACTACATGGCGCTGTAAGATTAGCACTGATCTGCAGACCCCAACATGGGCAGTTCAAACCTACCAGCTGCTCCTCGGAAACCCAAACCCTATACGGGGTCACTAGGAGTCGGGATCAACTCAAAGGCACTTAAAAACAACAACAGCTGCATTTACAAGTCTGGTTTTTACAGTTTTCTCCCAGACATTACTAATTACTCATTAATTCAGCATAAACATATCAAATATTACACCTAATAATTTGCTCAAACTAATCACATTATTCTTTCAAAATGAAGAATTTAGCTTTTCCTGATGACCACTCTGAAAGCATTAGAGGTAAGTACTGTTGCCTTTGTAGTACTTACATTGTAAATCATAAATCTTAAATTTAAGTTTACTTCTTCAGTTCCAGAAATGCGTTTTAACAGTTCTTGAAATTTTCATGTCTTCTTGAAACACATTTTTATCATTGGATCAACAAACCAAATCCAAACTTCATACTTCACTTTCATAGCAGAATTTTGTTGTTGTTGTTGTTAAGTGCCGTCGAGTCGATTCAGACCCATAGCGACCCTGTATAGCGTTTCCAAGGAGCAGCTGGTGAGCTTGAACCACCGAACTCGCAATTCAAACGACTTTGCAGTCTGACGCATTGGCCCACAGCGCCACACCAGGTCTCCTTTCAGAGCAGAATAGTGGGTAATAATTTCTACGTTGAGTAAAATGTTTACTAACCCACAGTAGGATTTCTTTATGTTCAACTGAATTTAACACTGTCCGCTGGTCAAGAAATTAAATTAATTTGAGTGGTTAACTTGACAAATGACTTAAAAATAAACTTAGCAATACAGCAAATATTCCTATGGTCGGCTATAAGGACTGGAGTCCTGGTGTGGCGCTGCGGGATAATGCGCTGTACTGTTTGAAGTCAGTTTCAACGGAAGGTCTGGAGTTCAAGCTCACCAGTCACTCCTGGTTGGAACCAACTTGCTGGCACGTAGCAACATCAACAACATGCCATATGGACTAGTTGTTAGTTACAGTCTATTCTTTAATTCATGACAACCTTGTGTGTTGCAGAGTAGAACTGCTGCACAGTAATTTCTTAGCTGTAATCAATCTTAAGGGAACGCTGGTAGTATAGTGGTTACAAGTCAGGCTGCTAACTTCAAGGTCAGCAGTTTGAAACTACCAGCTCTTCCACAAGAGCAAGATGAAGCTTTCTGCTTCTGTAAAGATTTACAGCCTCGGAAACCCTATGCAGGATCGCTGTGTCAGAAGCTACTCCATTGCACACCACCACTACCAATTAACCTTAACAGAACCGTATTGCCAGTCCATTTCTTCTGTGGTACCATAGGGTGACTTTGAACCAACAGCCTTCAGCTAACATCAAGTACAAACCATCTTCACCACCTATGGAGCAACCTGGTGCAGCACTGTAGGATAAGCACTGGACCACAAGATTGGTTTGAACCACAGAATTGGTGGTTCAAACTCACCAGCCTCTCCTCAGAAACACTGTGCAGGGTGGCTACGAGTTGGAATCAACTCAACGGCACATTACAACAACAGACTAACTTATGGAGTACTGGTATGGCTCTGTAGGATAAGCACTGGACTGCTAATCAAAAAGTCAGTGGTTCAAAGACAGTGGTTCAAACCTACCAGCTGGTTCTTGGAAAGCCTATTTAGGGTCACTGAGTCAGAACTGACTCGACAACACTTAACAACAATATGGACCAACAGATGAACTAGAGACTTAGGAGTATCATTTGAATCCAACATGAAACACATTAATTTTTAAAACATTTAGTTAAAATGAGGAAAAAGCAACTCATATGACTTATTATTAGTTCAACTACACAAAAGAATGCTACGTGTTGCTGGAGGATAAGCACCAGACCGCAAAGTTGGTTTGAACTTGGAAGGCCAGTAGTTCAAATCCACCAACCGCTCCTTAGAAACCCTGTACAGGGTCACTAGGAGTAGGCACTGACTTGACACTTAACAACAACAACTTCTACATTAGCATGATCGTGAAAACTGTACACCCATGCGCTGCTTTTAAAAAAAAAGGTCGTTTTTAAAAAATATATTTTAAAATTGCTATTACTACATCCAAGTATTTTTTTCATATACTTACTTCCTGATCCACTAATGAAATATCTGGCCTCAGCCCCTCACAGTAATGCACGTAACGGAGAGAGTTTCCTGGCAAGTCTCCTCTCAGTAAGATAATTGCATCATGAGGCATAGAGGATAGAAGGTTCTTTGCAAATGTATCGATCACATAATTGTTCCTTTGATCACAAATGCTAAATAAAAGAATGAAAAAGCATTATTAAAAAGCAACATTTTGCTACAGCTTCAATAAGATTGGGCTGATTTTCCACCCCATCGTTTGCCCACCACACATCTACACCTTATCTTTCCCAGTATTCCGATGTATTTCCTCTGAGAAGATGTGTATGTTTGAAAAGAGAATACTATCATCTGAGATAAAGAAGAACTAATGGTGGTTTTAGAAAAAAAACAAAAAACCGTCTACTACCTCACTCATCGAATTCATCTTTTCCATTAAAAGGGAATCATTTAGTACTCAAGAAAAAGTCCTTTTTTTCCCCTCTAAAAACATGTAAGTTCATTTTAAAAACAAGGTTTCCAACTGCACTGGAAATTTAAAGTAATTTCATGTTACAGTATTTTTCTCAAATAATGCTCTTATGTAAGTAACACATATAATATGAGGAAATTGGCATAGCATGCTTACAGAAAAAACATGTGGGGTGTAGGGAGTTGCACGGTTGGCCAAAAACATGTAATATGTGTGGAGCTTTTTTGCATAAGAATGTGCTAATTTCATTTACTCAAAGGACTTTTCAGAAATGCCAAAGGAAATCTGGCCAATTTCTGACATAAATGTAGTTATTTGTAAGACTCCCTTTCATCCAGAGGTTGACCCTGAACCACAAGCTCTCTGTGTACTTCTCTCACATTGAGACCAAGAAATCACTAGGGAAGGAGGCCAACGAGAAGAGAAGGCAGGCGTAGTTTGTTGAGTTGTTGCTTTCTTTCGAGGCATTATTTGCTATTGCCAACAACAACAACAGCAGTCTGACTCTTTTTAGTAATGAAGTGGACTTTCTAACTTCAAAGAAAAACTGGCAGGGATTTTGAGAGCTTTCCATAAGAAAAGAAAAAAGATTATTTAAGGGACTAAAAGCATTAAAAAAATAAAAGGAACAAGCAATATCTTTCTTGCTACTGTTGAGTGCATTACATTTACTACAGCTGAGAAACATGACCTTCAGCTGAATCACTAGTCTCAGAAAACAAACATACACTTCTAGGGACAAACAGTAGCTCTGTCTTTGTCATGGAGGTAACCATCAGCGCTTCCCACTATGATTCCCTACTCTGTAGTGAGATGTCTCACCTTCTGTCACCCAACAAAGATGCTCTCTCTTCCTTCCACTGAGCAAAAAAAAAATCCAAACAAAATAAAACTCCAGCCTGTGCAAGCATCCCGAGTATCAAACTTGAACTGCTCCAAAAGCCTGAGCCAGCAGACAACAGGAGTAGGAAAAAAAAAAAAAAGACTGGGCAAAAACACTGTACACTTGGTGACTCCTTGTGGAGTTTGTTATGGCGGTGTGCCTAGGACTTCACACCCTTCCCACGAGGCCACGGTGAGGCAGGTATCCAAAAACGGGCTCTACCAGATCATATAAAGAGCACTGGTTTTCAACGTTAAGTTGACTGTGTAACTGTAATCTTTAAATGCGCATACTGCCATGACTTTAAACTTGAAAGGCCTCTCCTAAGTCTGTAATGTTGACTCAGCACTGCTAGAAATAAGTGAATTTCAATTAAAATGTGATGAACATCTTTTCTGTTAGATGGTAGTTTTCATGGTCATTGTTATGGAAATAGAACTGAAAATAAATACATATATGCTAATGATGCGTAAGGGCTAAGAAACTTTACTGACTTTTTATTTGTTTGACAGTTTTAGATGAGGACTTTATTATATACATACAATGCATATTAATTTGACAACCTACATTAAATGATCCAATTTCGTGAAAACTACCAACTACCAAAGTCATCCAGGATAAAACACTTGAATAATGAATGAAGAGATTCATCTGTAGTTATTAAAATTCCACAAAATAAAATCCTATGCCCAGATAGCTTTACCAGCAAGAAAAAGAAATAAAAGGCATGTAGATTTGAAAGGAGAGAGAACTGTCCTTATTTGTAGATGCCATGACAGCTTATGTAGAAAATTTCAGGGAATAGCATTTTAGGATTACCACTAGACTGTGAGCCGCAAGGTCAGCAGTTCAAAACCACCAGCTGCTCTTCAGAACACCTACACTGGACTGATATGAATCAGAACTGACTCAATGGCACTTAACAACAACAACAACAACAACATAGGACACAAGTTAAATGCATAAAATTCAATCAGAACTGACTCAATGGCACTTAACAACAACAACAACATAGGACAAAAGTTAAATGCATAAAATTCAATTATATTTCAATATATGTTGTTAGGTGTCATCATGTTGGTACTGACTCATAGCGTCCTTATGTACAAAAGAAGAAAACAGCTCCCTGTCCTGTGCCATCGGACTTCATTTTAAAATGAACATTCATGACTACAGGATGAACAAGATAAGAGCAAGGTATTATTCGAAAGATGAAATCATTCATGTATAAAGTGAATCCCTTTTAGGACACGCAAGAAGTCCCAAATGCCTTTATTTTCCTTCCAAGTGGTATTTTACATATATAGTCCAGGGTCTCTAGGGTTCTTTGGAAGAAAATACACAAATCACATGCACCACCCAGCTTCTTGCTTGCAATGGCCTGAAACTACACATCATCCATGTTGACATTCTGGTTCAGGAGGATTAGCAATCCCAAAAAGGTTAAGAATCATTGCATTTAGACCAAGCTGCCCGGTTTTGAAAATCAGTGTTAATTAAAAATAAAATAAAGTCCTACAACCTAAATATTCAAGTATCACTGGCTGGTGTGCTACTTACTTTTCATAAAAAACAAATAACAAAAAACACAACCTTGCGTTACCTGTAATTAGAATATATCTGGTAGGTTACAAAAAGCATAGCTGAAAACCACTCCAAACACTGAAGGTCGATGCTGCTATTCAGCACTCGGTTAGTTTCAGACACTAGTGCAGCCAGGCCGACGCCAGCGAGGACAGCCACCACCGCATTGCTCTGCATCCAGAATCGTTCTACCTGCAAAACAGTGTGTGCAAAGAGTGGGTCCCGTCGACCAGCTTGTGAACTCAAGCACATGCTTATGCATTTAAAAAACAGACCGCATACACCTAGTTAGTTATGCCTGCTGCTGTTCAGATCTTGGTAACTGACTTTTCTAGACGAATTCCATATCACTTCATTTTTTTCAATTTCCAAACATTCCTCCTTTCCGTTTTCACATGAGCATCTACTTCTCTAGATGCACACACACATTCCAGACTGCAGCCTTGCTCTTGAGCCATGAGGGAGTACACACGGGTTTGGGGTTTTACTCCTGATTCGTGTTCACTTATGGCTTCTCTCTGTCCTTTCCCTTACTTCTCCCTGTTGAGTGCAGGGACTGATTTGACTAGGGAGTATGGGGATGGGGAGGGCACGAGTGCCCCTGTCCTCCATCTCTCTGTCTGGGAAGGAGCCGCCCATAGGAAGCACTTATCCAGAGGCAGACTCTGTCCCTGGGGTGGCAATAGGGTGGCCTGTGACTAGGGGGTAAGTCTGTCAATAGTGGGACTCGATCTGAGGGGCCCCCTTTACCCTCAGATATGAAGCATGTTTTCCAGTCTCAGCACTGTCTATGGTAAAGCTGATTCTCCCACCATTTTTGCAGGTTTGTTTCTCAACTGACTCAGAATTTAGGTCATAAACCAAAATTCAAATCCACGGCCGCTTAAGTTGGTTCTGACTCAGCGCGACCCTACACGAAGAGTCAAACTGCTCCCTAGGGATTCTGAGGTGGTAAATCTTTATGGAAGGAGACTAACTCATCTTGTCTCCTGAAGAGCGGCTGGTGGGTTCAAACCTCCAATGCTTAACCCACTGACCAGGCTTCTTTCCTCAGGTGATAACTTGGGGTATGTATTAGGATTCCAAAACACAAGGCAGTCCATTGGTTTCAGCTGCTAAAGAGATACCAAATTTTCAGCATGTGTGGTGCTTTGGGATAAACCACAAGGTTGGGGGTTGAAACGCCCCAGCTGTTCCTTGGAAACCCTACACAGGGCTGCCATGAGTTGGAACTGATTCAAGGGCACTTAACACAACAGAAGAAGAAATGGAGTTCTGGTGTGGTGCTATAGGATAAACACTAGACCTCAAGGTCCATTTGAACTGCTAAGTCAGTGGTTCAAACCCACTAGCTGCTCCTCAGAAACCCTATATGCAGGGTTGCTATGTGTTGGAATCCACTCGATGGTACTTAACAACAAATAAGAAGAAATACCTCAATCTCAGAGAGAGGAGTGTGATAGAAACAAAATGCAATTGATCTTATGTTTGGCGTGGAACTTGTAAATTAAGAAGGATGGGAATAAGCTGGTAAAGAGTCCCGAGCTAAAATCCGTCCTTCTTTTGCTATTAAACAAGAAATAAATTCCAGGAGAAACACAATAGTATCTATACTTGAGGTTTGTACACACACACAGACACAAACTAATAAATCCAGTTTACTTTCTTTTGTTTTCTAGCTAACTACTGGGCTTATGAAATAATTGCTTTTTCTCCACACCAGCAAACAAAAAACGGTCAACTTTACTGGTCAAGAATTTCAGCTTTTGTTATTATGTATATCAGATACTAGCTACTCCAGAAAGAATTTGCTCTTTTACTGGACTCAGGATTCCTTGTGTGGTGCTGTAGGATCAGCATGGAACTGGGAACCACAAGATCGGCAGTTCAAACCCATCCCCAGCTGCTCCTCAGAAACCCTATACAGGGTTGATAGGAGTCGAAACTGACTCAAAGGCACTTTGCAACAACAATGACAAACAAAATTCACAAAGGACACATTTGTACATTTTCCACAAATTTTTTGGTTAAAGAATATATCTAGTAAAACTTACCACACCCATGAAAAGTGGTTTTGAGATATCTAAATTTGCCCTCCAAGCAAAGAACAATGAATAAATGCAAAACATTCCAGTAAAAAGCCATACTAATGATGGATTTTGTTTGTCCCTGCAATAAAAAGAAATCCAAAAATTATCTATATGCATGAACATCAATAATAATAATAATATATCATTTTAAACTAAAAAAGTATTTGGATTTATACAACTTCTCGTTTAGAAAGATCTGCGTTTTAAAAATTTGAGTTCAATAGATAAAGCATCAGTGAAGTACATATTATAGACAAATTGGCACCAGGCAACAAAGAACATTAAGTTAAAATTCATCAATGTACAAACTATGCTTAAGAAGTAGTCAAAAGATATATAAAAAACAAGATGTTATTTTCATGCATCAAAATAATACAGACTTTAAAATGACATATTTCAATCTTGATGAGAATGCTAGTACAATCTTTGAGGAAAGTAATTTGATGATACTTTCAAGGGTCTTAAAATATTTACATTCGTTGACCCAGTAATTTGACAGAGAGACATAAATCTTAAGGACAAAATCAGATATGCAAAGTTTAATCCATAGATGCTTTATTATTATTGGTAATACTGGAAAAAATGGAAGCAATTTAAATATCCTTAAATACATTAACATTTAAATAAATTCTAATATGGTCATGGGATGGAATATTACGTAAACATTTAAATGATCTTAAGCTTTCTACTCCCATAAAGATTTACAGCCTTGGAAACCCTGTACAGAGTCGCTATGAGCCGGAACTGACTCCATGGCACATAACAACAACAAGTATTAATTAAAATATGGCAATATGCTCACATACAACGTTAAGTGTTAACAAAACAAAACTACAAATGTATGTATCCACATACATTTTATAGACAAATGTTAAGTATTCAACAAATTAGAAAGTAAGTGAACACAAAAGTAAATGGTGGTTGGGGATTGTAACCAAGGCAATGAAACCATATACGATAGGATGAATGTAAAGCTAATGTTCTCCCATGTAAACTTTCACATGATTCACAATAAAACATTTAAAAAAAAAAAGTAAATGGAGGTCAACAGTCCTCTATTTTTTAGGATTTCGTTAACATTTGTTTGCTTCTTTTGCAAAGCAACAAATAATACTTGGTTACAGGGTAAAGAATCACACTAGAAGTTTAAGACACCAAACGACTTGTTTAACTAGGTTTTACTACAACAGGGCTTCAACAAGTTCCTGGAAAAATTCCATTATCTTTTGATTACATGTTCCCACAAACTTTATGAAATCCCTTTGTATGGCTCAATTTTTCAAAATCACTGATTTATAACTGGAGGAAAAAAAAAAAAAAAGCCTAGCAAATAAGCAATGCGTTTGTTTTGACAAAAGTAAGTAGGAGAGTCATTTATTTGGAATACAAATGAATACTGACAGTGGTCTACAACGATATATGGAAAACATTCATTCAATCAAAACATGGTCAAAGGGACACATTACTTACTTTCTTACTAAACATAAATTTGCCAAAACTGCAAGGGCTTGAATGTTGAATGAGAGTTCTGTCCTCATGTTTGTTACTTGAGAACTGTAAAAGACAATCTAATTTATTGTTGGCCTAAGAAAAAAGGGGTTAATTCTAAATAAAATACTCTTGGAGGAATAAACATCTGATTATACATTGAATAATTTTTAAGGGTTGGATCAGGTTTTCAAATTATTCATTCTTCTTTTAAAAGTAGGAGAAAAAGTACCATAAAAGTCATATAGTTCTGAAATGTCTTTCAATTGAAGCATTTGGTCACCAGCTTGTATTTTTTAGGTTAGGATCAGAACAAAAATTCTTTCGTCTCTTTGACACTGGCATACTTTTCAGGATACCGCCAGCCAACTAATTTGATAAGTTGTTTGGAATGGGTTGTGATCCTTCTAACAGAGACAAAGACAAGGTCTCCAGTGATTTAGCAAATGAAAGCAAACTTAATTCAAATCCTTTCCTGGAGATTCAATTCAGTCATGAAAAGAAAAGGAAAAGAAGAGTGATTTTTCAACCATTCTTTTCTGTGTTATTTTCTTCCTTAAAGGATTACTTGATTTCTACTAATATTTGATTCAAAAACTGTTTAAGCAATTTCAAAGAAATGTGTCTTTTCCTTCCTACAATTATACTAAATTCTTCCATCAACGAATACACATTTTTCCAAGTGTTATCTGAGCTCTAAAAGAGCATTTAACTACTGCTCTCGCAAGTCTCCAATTTTTAAAAAAGGAAATGACTATACACTCATCATCTCAAAGGACTTTCTTCTCCCTAGTGGCGATTTTACTGGAGAAAATGTGATGCCCTAATTATGGGACACACACAATGTGCATTTTTCTAATGGAGACTCATCTACTAAGAGATGATGTCCTTACTCATTTTCAAACACACTTGAAAAATTGATTCCAGCATGAGGCCCATTTCAAACCATTCTTCAAAAGGAATGAAGGCAGTCCTCAAAATTAATTCTTGGAGATCACTTGCTTAAATGCAAGCTCTAAAGGATGGTCACTGCCTAAGGTTAGATTCAATAATTGCCTTGTCCAGGATTGCAATTGAGAGAGATCATTGGGAGAGAATTTAATTTGTCTGACTGGAGAAGGGTAGATGATTAAGTTCAATCATTTTGAAGGATTTTCTTAGAAGTTAATTATGTCTTGCTTTCTCAATATTCCCATCCCTCTGAAACAATTAAAGACTGCAAATTCTCTCACTCAACCAGAGACTGCTAGGGCTATGCCACCATTTTACATTACAACTTGCTTTCAACAAATAGTGTCAGGATGAGAGGTCATCTCTTAATGTTGAGTCTTTTGGGGTATACAACTACAATGATATTACTTAAATGTTAAGGAGACCTTTATATTCCCAAATAGAGCACTTTTATGAGCACCTAATAAAAGTCAGATTTATGGTCTTGGATTATTCCTGAGCCTTCTTTGACATTCATGTGGGATTTGTATATATGTTTATATATTTGAAAAATATATCAGTAACTCTTCATGCTGTAACAATTGTCAGAAGGTAGAAAGAAAAGAATACGTGGTGGGTCATTTGGCACAAAGTTAAGCAGAATCCGGAGTCCTGGTGTGGTGTTGTAAGATAAGCACTGAACTGCCAACTGCAAGGTTTGTGGTTCAAACTCTTAAACCCTTAAACTATACGAGTCAGAAATGACTAGACAGCACTTAACAATAACACAGAATAAATTGAAAAATTTAAGACACTGATAAAATGAACTTCTTGCTACTTTCTCCCCAACAACAACAAAAGGAGCCACAAAAGTTAGTGAGACATTTAAATATATGTTTAAGATGAAGTGTCAGAACCACAAAAATACTAAATAACTAACCACAAGGAAATAGTTTCAAGAAACAAAGGCTAATAAAACTGCATTTTCAGCCCAGTTTTTACAACTTTTTTTTTTTTTTTTTAATATTGGAAGAATAGACATTCAATGTTAACAGATAATAACAGTGGTTCTCTGGATATAGAAATTATAGATAGTGTTTTGCTTTTCTGTATTTTCTTTGATTATGTATTATGTTTAGTATGAGGAAGAAAGTTACTCAGAAAGAAGGGAAGGAAGGAAGGAAGCCAACAAGCAGATTAAACACATTAGAAACTGAGAGCTTATCAATGGTCTCATGTATATAACTGAAATACTCTCATAGTTTTAAAATGTTGCTGTTAAATAGTCCTGAGAGTCCCAATGAATAATTAGATCACCTCAGTGTTACAGAAAAATGCTCTTCCTTAGTTTTGTATTTCAAACATGATATAAATATTACCGGGGTTGGTATAGATATTTGTCAAATTGCCTTAATCTGTTGGGCTTTAATGTAAGTATTAAACCATTTCTCAGAAAATACTAGTAGCTAATATCAGTGACAAGTTAGTTTAAGATAGTTCTAATAAAGTTGGAGGCTACAAATATTGAAGTACGAAATACAAGACTAGTTACAAGAAAAGGCTTAACAGACACTTTAAAAAAATTAAGCTCTAAAAAATTAAAAGAGCGCAGCATAGACACAAAAAAAATGTTAAAATTCTGCTACATACAATGTTATAAAATGTCTCTAAAAAGAAGGAAGACATAAAATCAGAAAAAAGAACAAATGTTTTTCTAAAGCAATACCATGTTGGGTAATTTTTAATCCAACTGAAACTTCAAACATTTTAGTTTGTAAAGACTATCTAATATTCTCATTCACTGCTGGATTTATTGCTAATTTTTAAGCTATGCTAGAATGTCTGATGAAACAGCTCTGAACCGCAGAACTATAAGTATTTCTCAGGTATGCTTCACAGAGATTAATGCAGCAATCCCTAAAATCATTCAAAGTAACAGAGAATTCATTGAAAAGAGTTTCAAGTATTTCGTACTCACAGCAATATCTTAGACATACTGGATCCCGTTTCAGATTTTGCCTAAACACAAAAGAAAAAAGTTATTTACACAAACATTAAAGTAAAGCTTACATATTAGGCTATTGTATTTCACCATGATGATTTAAAAGACACATATTTTAAATATACAATGTAACTTCTCTCTTTATTCAAAGTTTTCCCTTTAGAACCTCATAGGATTTTTAGAAAGAAGTCAGGTGAAACTTTAAATATCACCCTCCATCAGGAATTCAGAATTAATGCATTGACGAAAAACCAGTTTATCTATTTCAGCAGGAATGATTATTATATCAATGAATTAATAGATAATTCACACTTCTGTTATGGGCTCTTCGTGTTTTTGGTAGATTTGATTAGAGTTTTTTTCTCCAGATAGTTTATAATTTCACAGTTATGTGTGTAGTAAATAATTTTCAAATACTGAATAGCCCTGAATAGTACTGTTTTGGAGTAATCACTATAAATTAAACATGAATATAAACTTAAAGTAACAAACTCTGTCATATAATAATGAACAATTATCCTTCTATTAATCTATTTTCTTATAAAATATATCCTGCATGGCGGTGGTGTTGTTAAGTTCCAGGGAGTCAGTTGTGACTCATAGAGACCTTGTATAGTCTTTCCTAACAGCAGCTGGTTGGTTTTTTAACTGCTGACCTTAATGTTAGCAGTTCAGTGCTTCTAAAGTATATAATGTATATTTAAGGGATAAGAACTTAAAAAAAAAGCCATAGCCCACCTTTCATTTAAGAAACATAACCTAAACCTCATGAGATCAATAAGGTATCTGACACTTGAAATTTCTGATAATTATTCCTGATTTTTTTTTTTTTTTTTTTTAAGGTTTACTACTTTCATTAAACAACAAGTTGTTTCATTCTTACAAGGTCTTTTAGAAATTGTATAAATGGTGTCATATAATATAGGTGCTACCCTTCTAGGACTTGTCTTTTTAAAGTCAAACACCCAAAACACCAACTATTAAAGAAAAACCTGACGCAGTCGCCTCTTTTCACATGAAAAAGCCTTCAGTTTATTCTTCCATTTGTCAGATGCTCTGTACTGTAACCACATTTAATGTTTTCCCCTCATTCGTGACTTAGGGAAAGCAAGGCCTTATGAACCTTTTAAAAACACATTATTTTCTCACATTTAGTGAAATCATATTTTATAAAGCATTTAAAAATCTGCCTTCAGTGTTAAAAATGAAAAACTAACATGAAAACTGTTCATCAAAGAGAAAAAATAAAGTGTTAGCTAAGGTAATTGAAAATATTATTTATTTTCCCCTCAACATTATCCAAACATTTTTATTCAGAGACCAAGAGTCCATAATGACACCCACCGCTTACAAGACCACTGTGCTCCAACTGCAGGTTGTTGTTGTTGTTAAGTACTGTCCAGCCGGTTCCGACTCGACTCGTAGCAACCCTGTATAGGGTGGTGTTGTTATGTGCCGTGGAGTCGGTTCCAACTCATAAGCGACCCTGTGCAGGGTTTTCAAGGCTATTAATCTTTACGGGAACAGAAAGCCTCATCTTCCTGTCACAGAACAGCTGGTAGTTTCGAACTGCTGACCTTGCGGTTCACAGTCCAGTTCGTAACCAGGCTGTGACTCTTAAAAGGAGCAGAAAGCCTTGCAGGCAGGCAAGTCTATTTAATGCTAGATATCCTGAAAAGTACAACCTGCCATACAGGATGATGCCAGGTCAAGAGATAACAAGGTTTTTTCCTAAATGATTTTAAAGCACATATTTGTTATGTAAATAACTGTATATACTCAATGAATAGCGTCCTGGTGTGGTGCTATAGGATAAGTACTGGACTGCTTATCACCAGGTTGGTGGTTCATACCCACCAGCTGCTCCTATACAGGGTCACCATGAGTCGGAACTGATTCCACGGCATTTAATAACAATAACAATTCACTGAATAAGATACATATTTGTTACATGAATAATCAAAATAAAAATTCTATCAATTGTCTTCTTTTCGTTTTCTTCCAGTCAAGGTCCAAGCAGAACACTAGAGTTTTGACACTAACTTCCTTAAAAGGGCTTTCTATAGAAATTTACCAGGCTGAATGTTCCATATTCTTCCCTGAGAAAATGCGTCAAAAATCCTTGCACTGTTGTCTGGTCTCCCCAGGTCCAACGGGCTTGATTGAGGTAGGAGGAGATGGGAAGGTAGAGATAGGGTAGCAAACCAGCACTGAAGCACACACTCAACTTCAACACACAGCCTGCAGAAAGTTCCTGCATTAGAACACATCGGGTTGTACAACGGTTATTTCATCAGAATCATCCTGGAACTTTATGAACACATCGTGGAAAACATCAGACATGTTTACACAGAGCTGATCTCTCCAACTATATCACGTCATGACACAATACTATGTAAAAACCTTCTGATTACAGTGGATTACCAGAAAATTGCATCAGCCTGAACTGCTTTGCATGGCAGCTGAACTATGAATGAGGCAAATAGTAGTATTAGTAAAGATGCCTGAGTAGCATGTTTATTGCATCTTTGACATTTAAAACATACAGCAATACACACTGAGATATCATAGTTGGAAGTGATTAAATTGTTTGGTTTGGAATATGCCCCCAAAACACTGTGATAATGCCAATCTGTCTAACTGCCATCACCAGAAATAAACTTACAGTCACTAACTCTCTGATGCTTAGACACTGACACTATGATGCGTACAGGGAGCATGGTGGCGCTGTAGGATAACTACTGGAATATTAACCACAAGGTTGGTAGTTAGAGCCCATCGGCCACTTGGTGGGAGGAAGATGAAGCTTTCTGCTCCTGTAAAAGATTTACAGCATCGGAATACCCTAAACAGGGTCAGTATGACTTGCACGGGACAACTGACAGCACTAAACAACTACAAAGGGAAGATTTTGAATATTTGAGGGAAACATATGGCATAGATCACATTAGTTTTTATGTAACTTCCAACTTCATTCAAAGGCTTTATTTTTTTTAAATAAATGTAAATGAATATGGGTTCTGGGATACTTGTTATTTGTTCCCAACTCATTGCAACCTCGTATAGTTTCCGAGGAGCAGCTGATGGGTTTGAACCTCTGACCTTGTAGTTCACAGTCTAGTGCTGGTCCTATAGCGCCACACCAGGACTCCTCTGGGATACTAGAAAGACACAAATAATGGTTGCTTTAGCAGTTGGGAAAGGAATATGCTACAAATATCCTGATTGGAATTTTTCCCTTTAAAAATAGAGAAATGACAAACACTGTTTGAGATTACTGTTGTAAAAAGTAAACACTTTCATGGTAAAAGAAACATTCTATGATGGTTACTGGGACGAGGGGTGGAGGTACCATTATTCATGGGCTAGAGGGTAGACACATGGGTGACAGGGCAGGCAATACACAACAAGAGGGAGGTTAAGAGAGGAAAGAGGAAGGTAGAAGACACAGGAAGGAACACAAGAGTTAAAGTGAATAGGGGTAAATGCTGTTAACTGTTGGTACATGGAGGGGATTGCAATCACTGCAATGAAGCAAAGTATATGATTTGTTGAAGGCAAAACTGATGATCTGCTCTGTAAACCTTCATTCAATTCACAATAAATTTTTTTATTTTGGGAAAATAAATGCATACATGAGAATGAATATAATAAGCAAGGTTCACATTCACCAAAAGTAGAAGCAGTTGAGATATATTAGCATTTTCAAATAAACATCCTTAATTGAAAATGGAGTGTTTTGATTGTAGCACTGATTTTGTATGAGATTTCTATGGTGGTAACGAGGTGCATAAAAACGGAAGGCAGGAAAAGAGTGTAAAGAAATCACTAAACAGCATGCCTTTGCTATTCTTGAGAATGGTATTAATAAAAGAAAATGATCCTATTTTACCATTTCTGTACATCATAAAGTTGAACTTAGGATGGTAAGATGTGGTTTTGAGTCCTGGTGTGGCACTGTAGGATAAGCACTGAATGGCAAACCACAAGGTAGGCGATTCAAACTCACCAGCAGCTCCTTGGAAACCCCATACAGGTCACTGTGAGTCAGAAGCAACTCAATGGCCCTTAACAGCAACAAGATGTGGTTGAAGAATTTTCTGGTTTTGTGTGCAAATAAATGGAGACAATCACATGACAGCTATTACAGAAACCAGAAGAGTGTTCTGTAGCCCTAGATGCACATTACAACCAACTGGGGACTTAAAAAAGCATAGTGCTCAAGGCTGGCCTGCTTTACTAGCCAAGCTCAACAATTATTTGGTTTTAAGAAGACTTCAGGGGCAATTTTTTGGTCTAAAGATTATCTCAGGGCAATAGTTTCAACTACTATGGCTTCAGAAAATCTGGATTCCATGAGAATGTGAAATTCTGTTCTATCTTCCCCCACCTTTGATTAGGATTATGTTAAAGAATCTTTGATCAAAGTGTTCTTTAATGGTAGTTAGACACAACAAGGCACTATCCCATTTTCTTCTCACTGCAAAAGAGACAATTAAAGCCAATTTTGGAAAGACTGCCAGGCCTCTGGGTGGACTTGAACTTAGTAGCCGAATGTATTCATTATATGCATCACCCATGTATGTATCTGTGTACTCACATATGTGTGTGTGTTAAAAAGTATTGCCACAAAATAAAAATGTGAAGCTGATGTTTCTTGCCATAGTCTCCATCCAGGTGTGCATACCTCTGTAGGTGGTGTTCCATATCGCTAACCTTTTCCTGAAAAATTCTACACTCGATTTACATCACATCGAAATGGCAGTTTGGGCATCCTTGAGGGTTTCAAATCGTGTTCCTTTTAAATGCTCATTGAGTTCGGGCAACAAAAAGAAATCTGAAGGGGTTAGACCAGGGCTGTAGGTACATGAGGTAAGGTTTCCCAACAAAATTCTTGTAGGGCAGGCCTTGTGTCCGTTGAGAAAATCTATGAAGATTGCCCTTTAAAGTCCCGAAAAATTGTGCCATAACCTTGAGCCGACCCCTCTTGCCCAGAGTTTAACTGGCCCGCCAGATCCCCTTGGAAGTCACTGCTTTGATTGGATCTATTTTTGAAAGTACTCAAGGTTGGTGGTTCAAGCTCACCAGTCACTCCTTGGAAACCCTCTACAGGGTTGCTATGAGTCAGAACCGACTTGATGGCACTTAATAACAACAAAGTACATCCAGGGAGTTCTGGTGCAGTGCTGTGGGCTAATGCATTAAACTGCAAAGTCGTTTGAACTGCAAAGTCAGTGGTTCAAGCTCACCAGCTGCTCCCTGGAAACCCTATACAGAGTCGCTGTGGGTAGGAATCGACTCGACGGCACTTAACAACAACAACAACAAGAAGGTAGATCCAACTTCCCTGTCCCTCTGCTGTTTACGTAATGGACATGAGCTCCAAACCATTCATCATTTATAGGAGGTGTACTTTACTTCACAGCACAAGGCACCCCCAGTCCAGACTCACAAAGTATCAATTCTTTTGATTCCCAAACGTTTGTAAACAAAGCTTGTCTTTCCATCACATAACACAAAACATCGGCTTTATAGGTCCTTTCCAGAAGATGTGCCTCTCTGATTTCTGCTCATGTCAGAAGCCCGGCTAAGACAACGATACAGTGCCAGATAATTATGGGACATGCTGTCCACATAGCCCCATCTGAACATTCATCCAAGTCACCAGGTCACCTCAGCTTTACCATTCTACGGGAAAGTCTTCACTGAGTTGTATTTTTTATGTTGTCTGTGCTTTAAATCAAGAACTTATACAAGAAACGACCATATGAAACAGTGTCTGTGTATTCCATAAAACCCTTGTTAAGGACACCGCCTGCTATGCTAACTCAGTACCCCTTACATCAGTATCTCATATAACGTTAGGGATATTGTAAGGAATATTGATGTGAGGCATATTACATGATGAATGAACTGACTCCAGTTCCAAGAAAATGCTTGTATTTTCTGTCTACCATTAATGTTTCCCTTTTATTCTTTTTTTAATCAAGTAATAAGAATTTCATAACCTCCAATATTATCCTTTTTATTTTGCTGCCAAGAAATTAAGAAACAAAATGTGTTCAACTACAGTAAATGTAGCTATGTAAAGCTCTGGTATAATTATTTCCCTATTCCTACAGAATACTTTTATTATATGTGTGTTTTCCATTATGATTCTGATTATAGTTGGGTATAATTGACAAATAACAAAATGATAAAAAGAAATGTAGTCGAGATATAATTCATAAGCACACAAGCCATAAATAAAGAGGTAAGTAAAATGACCTGGTGCTGACTTCGAGTGAGTCCTTGAACAATTTTAACCTTTGGGAGGAAGACTGGCAAAATGACGGCCATCTGTCCTTCCAAGGGTCCTTGACTAATTCAGTTCTCTGCCTTCTCCTTACGTGCGGTTCCTAACGCTCTTCACAGCTGTCCTTATCCTTGCTTTAGACCATCATCTTAATTGATATTCATTTTCCTTGCTGAGAAAGAAGAAACTAAAGTAAGTCACTTTTAATTCGAGGTCTGAGACAACAGGGCTGTTATTGACCAGAGACTTCATTATTGAGTTCACAATTGCAGTGCCATTGACTCCGATGTGTGCTACAGGAAGGCGAGCGCACGTGCAGGTGCAGAACAGACACTCCACACTCAGTAGAATGAATTAATGCAGTATCGGCACACCATCCTTTGCCTTGTTGTTAAGTGCTATCATGTCAGTTCCGACCCATAGCGACCCTGTATAGGGTTTCCAAGGAGCAGCTGGTGAGGTTGAACCACCGACCTGGCAGTTCTAACAATTTTGCAGTCTGACGCATTAACCCACAGCGCCACACCAGGACTCCACCCTTTGCCTCAGTGTGTACAATAAAACAACTAAGGACATTTGATGCTGCTGCTTTGAGATGGTCTCATGTATTCTTGTTGAGGTCCGACCCTTCAGGATTGGAGTAAGAAAATGATGGAATGAGCCAGATGCTACTGCAATCAGTACTGTGTAAGTTTGGAAAATTTTACTATTTTTGGTCAGTGGGGTTACCACACAAGATTGTTTATGCTTTTCACAAAACACAAGAAAAATGAAAGCCCAGGTTTTTTAATGCTATCAGTATTATATTGTGCCTATGTCAAATATTAGAAATGTTTATTTTAACAAAGTTGAAAAACCTACCTTCTCTTTTAGAAGTTGAAAGAGAATCCATGGTATTATGCACAGAACATAGAGTACTATTGTGTGCTGATTACATATGCTAAGGCCACAGCAGAAGGCACCAATTTTAGCAATCTGAAAAGACATGAAAGAAGAAAAATCCAAGTTACAAATCCACCTGAAATTCTAAGCATGCCCAGTGGTGAAAACTAGCAAGTCTTAATATTAAAATCAAGCATCTGTACCACAGGAAAGGTTTCAACAAACTCTCATATGTAAATGACTAGGCTTTTGGTTGGTTGGTTATTGGAATCAGTTCCAACAAAGTTTCTGAGGCTGTAAATCTTTACAGGAGCAGAAAGCCTCATCTTTCTCCTGTGGAGCAGCTGGTAGTTTCCAACTGCTGACTTTGCGGTTCGCAGCCCAATTGGTACCCACTACGCTACCAGAGCTCCTTAGAAGTTACTAATATTTATCACCATTCTTTTTTACTGATACTTTTTATTCTCATAAATAAATGCAGTTCATCCTTAAGTGTCTGGTTTCAAACTTTTTTATGGAAATTCCATGTGATGTCTAGATTAGCCCTAACTGTAATATTAACAAATACAGTTCTTAATTGCAATTCTTATTCAAGCATAACTGCAACTGAAATTTGGCAATTCCATCTACGGCATGTAACAGTTTTTGCTTAGGAATCTATCTGTAGGTGATGTTTTTGCTTTTCTTGAACATATATTGTTTTCTAATTCATTTTTGAGAAGTTATTTTAAATAACAACAAAAGCTGCAACAACATTACAGATCTATGTATGTGAACCACAGATAAATGTGCAGTGGGTTAAGAGTCCAAGGTTGGCCGTTTGAATCTAGTAGCGGTTCTGTGGGAGAAAGATGAGGCTTTCTGCTCCAGTAAAGTTTTACAGCCTTGGACACCTATAAAGAAAGGGCGGCTATGAGTCGGAACCGATTCCACAGCACACCACCACCACCATAGGTGAACCAAGATGGTCTTTGATTTTTATATTCTTTAATGAGACAAAGGCTGCCTATATTATGATGACTTGGTATTTTCTAATTTCTGGACGATAAACTCTTGGGCTCCTTCACATTTCAAATGATTCTGATGATGATGGTGCCTTAGAATACATTGTAATCGCTTCTAAACTACTCTGTTTCTACATTTCATCTTTTTCTTTTAATTAAAAGAAAATTACAAATTTGACTTTTGGCAATTAAGGCACAATTCTATGTACTAAATCCCACTACCATGGAATAGATTCTGACTCATAACAACCCTGTAGGACCAAGTAGAACTGATCCTTTGAGATTCTAGAATGTTATTCTTTAGGGAACAAACACAGCCTCATCAGTCTCTTTCAGAACAGCTGGTGGGTTTGAACCACCAACCTTGTGGTTAGCAGACCAACACTTAACTCATTATGCCACCAAGGTTCCTTTTATGTACCATGATGGTATATACTTTAAGCCAGTCATTTTAGAGCTTGGCAGTTTATGATCACACATATACACAAATGAAGGTATGATTCACCAATATGCCTATCTTCTCCTAGGACTCACAGGGAATGTCATAATTCCCTCACCGCTCAAAAACACAAAACAAAAACAAAAAAGCTTTTGAGGTCCCATAGTCTATAAAGGCCACAGTGGTTTCATTCACAATAAACAAACTGCAAACATTTTCTCTTCTGACATACATGCCTAGATTACTTTGACAGTAAGCACACTAGACAAACAGCATGTAAACTTTAAGACATAGAGTATGTGTCTAAAAATCAAACCACAAAAAAATTTCACTTTGATCAAAATAGGTTACCTTTGATCTCTCTTTTGCAGTTGCTGCCTCCTCAAAATGTACAGTAAGAGCCATGAGCAGCCCCACAAACAGATTGTTTAAGCTAAAAACCTCTGCTGCAATGGACCACTGCCATGTTAGACGCGAAAACGAAAACACCCCCGCAGCAAGGATTCCTCCAGCATATGAGCCAGAAAGCCTGCAAATACAGATAACATGAAATCTTCTTTCCCAACAGAAAGAACCGACTTTATTTTCCTCTCTATGAACTAGCAGCAGAAATTATGACAGTGGCTCAGCACTATCCCAACATGTTATACGGTTAATACATGACTTCGTGTAATTATTTCTTTCAACAAATTTTAATTAGGAACTTCACACATTAACCTACTAAACAAATTAACAAACCCGCTTGGTTCCCTATAGACAGAATGAGTTTTGTCCATCATATGTAACCTCTGACACTCAGTCAGTTCTGAACACCAGATGAGAAAGCAGCTAAAGAGATGACGACCCTTTGCTGTTTTTCTTGCTGTATCCACAAAGAATGATGGATAGACTGGCTGAAGATTAAGAAGCAAGTATGTTCAATGTAAAGGAACCCAAATCCTCATCACTGGACCAATGAACAACATTCTTACCAACGGAGAAAGGATTGAAGTTGTCAAGGACTTCATTCTTCTTGGATCAACTATCAACACTTATGGAAGCAGCAGTCAAGAAATCAAACGATGTATTGCATTAGGCATATATGCTGCATAAGACCTTTTTAAATAAAGTGTTGAAGAGCAAAGTGTTAGCTTGAGGACTAAGGTGCGCCTGACCCAAGCCATGGTATTTTGCATAACCTCAGATGCATGTGAAAACTGGACAGTGAATAAGGAAGACTGTTGAAAAATTGATGCCTTTGAGTTGTGGTGCTGGAGGAGAATATTGAAAGTACCACGGGCTGCCAAAAGAACCAATAGAATCGTTTTGGAAGAAGTGCAGCCAGAGAGCTCCTTGGAGGCCAAGATAGCCAAACTTCATTTCTCATACTTTGAACATATTGTCAGGAGGGACCAGTAACTGGAGAAGGATATCATGTTTGGTAAGGTGGAGGGTCAGAGAAAAAGAGG